TACATGAGGGATAATGAATCAGTGCGACATCCGTCACGCCCCTAGCACCGGCTTGAGCGGTACTCAATTTTCAACACTCAATATTTCAGATAAAAACATTGATCAAGAAAAAAATTATATTGATAAAAATGATTAAAAAGATTACAAAAAGTTTATAGGATTACAATAAGATTATATCATGAAAATCTATAATATGATCAAGAATAAAATGAAACATGGGTATAAGTAAAACAATCAAAGTCATGTATAAGTCAACTTGAGTTTCCTTCATGCAAAAAAGTCACATTGTAGAAAACTGAGATCGATAACTCTAACTAAAGTTTTCTACTTTAACTTTTATTCTAAGATCATGCAAAGTTTAAATAACTTTTGTAAAAAAAAAAATTAGTGTCATTTAGTCTATATTAATTTGTTTGTGATATACATGTATGTATATCATGGAATAAAATGCAATTTGCCAACAAAATACGTGTGTTAAACTACACAGGTCAACACCAACTTTGTTTTCTTACTAAAGACAACTTGTCAAACATTAAAATGAAGAACATGTGTCTTGCTTGACTTCTTTTAAACTTACAATTGTCGCATATACATAAGATACTCTATGGAGTTTTCGATTATTATATACATATTGTATACTGTTAGATAAAAATATTTTTATGAAGACTTTTTATAGGATGAACTTTTAAGGTAATGATCCTACCGGTGTTTGAAGTCTAAAAATGTTTCGTTCGCCTTAAAGAAAGGAATCAGGAAATTACTAAGTGCACTATAGTGTGTGTGTGTGTGCGCGCGCGCGTGCGTGTGTGTCTTCTCAAAAGATTCATATTTCACTTAAAACAAAAATTACGTCATAGACTGATAATCCTCTGATAATGATCTCTCTCTCTCTCTCTCTCTCTCTCTCTCTCTCTCTCTCTCTCTCTCTGTCTGCTCTGTCAAAGTTGTGATGGAAATAAAGTCATGTAAATTATTAATGAAAAAATGAGAAACGGAAGCCTTTAATGTCTCGTGCCATATGGCTAAGTTTTGTAAGTCTACTTGAGGATCCAAAAGGTAATGTGAAATGTTTTTTTAATGTTTTTATTTTGTGTGTGTGTTTTAGTTTTGTAATACGTTATATAAAAGTCACTGCTACATTATCAACATAAACTTGTATTATTGATATAATTGTACAAAAGTCCCTGTAAGTTATACAAATGTACACTATATAACAATATTCTAATAGACAAACGTTATGTACATAATATTTCACCGAACTGCTCCATATTTAATACATGCATTTAGAAATACACTCAGAAAAATAAAAGATATGCTCAATAGATATCGTTGGGTATGTTAGCATTATCATCGTTTGTATATCATTTCGATGTGTTCATTTTCATAAGTTCTGGAGTATTTATTTAATTAGGTTTACTAAATTATTATTGAAAAACGATTTAGTCAAATGATCTCATGTCTCAGGGCCTACATAGTTTTTTTAATTAAATAACCGACGATAAATACCCATTTTAAAAACCATGGACGGTAAACCTGCAATGCCATTCAAAGCTCTTATATAGCATTACATTTTGTATGTTTTAAATGAATACGCTTTAAAAAAAAATAGTATTTAAATTTAAATTTGATTTATGACTTTAACGAATTGTCACAATTTCGCAATATAATTCAAGTCACGTGGGTATTTACTAACACATTTTGTTAAATACTCGTTGGAATATAAACTTGTCAAAACGAGCCAGAAAATAACAGCAAGATTTCTAGAATTTACAAAACAATCGTTTATTAAATAAAATTTTTGAATATAATTCAAAATATCGTTAACGGATTTGCATATAAAACTAGTTACACAACCGTAAAAAATATGGTTAGTCTCGGTAAACCTAGTTTGAATATTATGCTCATTTTAGGTCAGGTTGCTTAATTTTCTAACTTTTACTTTTATACAGTACAAAAAAGAAATAAATCCTCTATTTCCAAAGTCGACACGCATTTGTATCCCTGAATATACTTGTTTGTCTGAATTTTCATAAAGTTTATTTTAGCCAGGGAAATAAATTGCAATGTATATATATCCCTGTATTTCCAAAGATTTATACTTTAAAATAAATGACAAAACATTTGGCTTCCTACAAATTTTCAAAACTGAAACCGTCTGGAATGGATAAAAGATAGATATTAGGTTTAATACGTATTAGGCACGAGCATACATTGCATGAAAAAATTATTTTTGATAATAAAACTCATTACATAGGAGGTAAAACGTGCTGACTGCTCTTATTGACGTGGGATTCTTTTTTTTTTACTTATATCAAATACATTATACTTAAAATGCCAAGTGTTATGTATCGACTAAAGGTTTTAAAGTTGTGTTGTTTCTTTGCTTCCAATTTTCAGATGTTTTTACTTCACAATAACTGTTTAATGGCACCTGTAAAAAGTTTACTTCACTTCAGTGTTGTTATATTTGTCACCGAGTAATTTATTTCAAAATATTGAATTTCGCTAAAGCCGCGGTGCTTGAGTTCACTTTTCCTTTATTTACCATGAACGGACTTAAACAACGCGCGTCTTCAATTTTATGCTGTTTTCATTGCTTGTGACAATCTCCCCTTTTCCAGATTTTAGTAAAGAAGAAATGTGTATAATCACTAGTTTAATTTTCAACAAAATGTTGCAAAATAAACGTAACTTTAACATATGAAATCTTTAACGAGATTTAGATAACCATCCTTCTAAAGAAATCCTTGCGTTACTTAGAATATTGCTTTTTCACTTATAAATAATTTCTTCAAAGCTGAATTGCTCCTTTGAAGGTATTGATAGATAGGAAATGTCCAAAGTTTTAAGTAGTATGTAAAATATTCATAGAGTTAATGAGAAGTGGAAGCCTTTGAGCTCATCGGATGGATACTGGTAAATTTACATGTTTTTTCCCGCTCGGTTTTTCTACGTCTAGTTTAGTCTGGTTTATGATAGAAAAAAAGGAGTAATTAAACCCTGTAGAGAGAACTGTGAGTTTTTCATAAAAATGGTCGAATTGACCTATTGAACCGATAACGCAATTATTTTACAAAAACATTGCGTACATATATAATTTGTAATAACAAGTAACTGTTACAAAAAAAGCATAAAATTGTATCACTTATATTACAAAGTCCTGAATCAGATTATTGAAACAGATTTGAGTTATGTTACGGAGAAAACATTTATCCGACATACTACAAAAGTTCTATTACTACCATTATAATAATAATAATAATCATCATCATCATCATCATCATTATCATCATCATCATTATCACCATCATTATTATTATTATTACTATTGTAATCATTATTATTATTATTATTATTATTGTTATTATTATTATTACTATTATTATTATTCTCAACCGTTTACGAGGTGTTATCAATTCAAAATTCATAGCTTTTTTCATACAACATTAAAAGCTGCCGACAAAAGCTGTAAATGATTTTTCAGTACATATATCTAATACGTATCATAGGAATAAAGAAATATAACACTCGAAAAAGTTTAACGAACTTTTATTTAAGGAATAAAGAAAGAATAAGATAAAATTTCTACAAATATTTTTCTTCTGTATCATTCAACATTATTTATTAAAAGATATACTATGCTCAAATTTGATAATAGAAAATATTGAAAATTGCTAAACAATAACTTTTTAAATAAAATAATCATGTTTTGACCTCACACGATGTAGTAATAGTAGATGTGTAATATCTAAAATTCTATACTCTACACACAGGTGGTCATAATTTGAATTTTTAGGGTCATTAAAAAAGACTGGCAGTTTTTTGGGGTTTGTTTTTTAAAGACCAACTTTCCTTGACCTGTAATAGGGACACTGGTTCCAATACACAGTTTATTTATTCTTTTATTCAAGTAAAAAATATTATGTAAGAATTTAATTGATTTCTTGAATTCAATAATTCCCCTTGATTTAAATATTTTACTCAGGGGTGAGCATGGTATATCTTTAATTTACAATAAAATTTTGAATAACAAATTAATATAAAATGATAAAATATCCTAAATCTCGTTTATCTAAGCAGGTTTCATAATGCATATAAAATGTTGTTCTTTTAACGCCTAAATATTTCCCGTCTCAGACCTCATAATAATGTCCCAACAAACCAAAAGGTAACGGAGTGTTGAAGATAGCATACAAAATAGCCACCCACTTTATCAAATATGTAAAGCATGCTTAAAATAACTTACAAAATGACTCTTATTTTCCCCCAGCCCCGTAGCCTCACTCCTAAAACCCCAGCCCTACATCTCACACACATAAAAATTATCTCTTAAGACCTACTTGAAACTGCATGTTTTGAATTTTATATAAAATGATTGCATATAAAATAACTATTCCGCAATCACTAAAGATGTCGTGATGCCGATTGCATAAAAGTAACTCATTTAGATACGACAAAATGCAAATTTCATATCTCATACAGAAATGCACATTTCACACCCATTAGATCTGTGCATTTTAGATACAATATATCTATTAAGCGATGTATATTTTTGACCAAACAAATGTGACAAGTTTCAAATAGCATACACAAAAATCTGAAAGCAAATAAAATGACAATAGCAAAAAACATTAGAAAAATAGTACACAAACATTTTAATTCACGGTTTCATCTGTCGTGTATTAATCATACAGTATAAAATACTCAGATATAGAAACATTTCAAACATCAAAGAATATGTGAAATGTGTACTGCAAATTTGTGTGCACATTATATTTAATCAATAAATTACATGCATTCATTTCTTATTGGAAAATTTGACTTAGAATTTATAGAAAATAAATTTCTAATTACCTCCCTTTATTTACGTGAAATGTTAAATTGGGTAATATCTTTATAAATAATGCTTATTGGAACTTACAATATTGACAAACCTTAATTTGAGCATCATATTTATGAAACAAATCATGAAAAAATGTGTTACAGGATCTTAAATAATATAATGAAAATGTAACTTTATGTTTCTAAAATGAAGCGTTTTATTTACCTTTTTTAAAAGAATAACACTTTGATATAATCTAATGAAATAAATAAGTATTTAATGAAATTTCTTTAATTCAGTTAATGTCAGTTTAATTCATATTCGTATAAAAAGCAGAGATCTAATCTCCTGGGAAAAATGTTATACTAACATAAAAAATATTTATCTTCAACAAAGATTAAAGACGATTAATGTCGTGTTTCGTTCTTCCCAAACTGCTGTTTATTTTCTTCTCACCATCATCTTGGCATGTTTGAAGAAGAATCTTTCACTGTTCAAGTTATTATATGAACAGGAATCATTATCTGCATACCACCATCCGCCACCTGACATAGCCGCGCACTTCATTTTTGAATCCCGATCCCATGTGACGAATTGACTCGAATTTGAATACGAAAATATAGGGTTCTTTGTTGTTTCCATACCTGTATACAAAAATAGTGGTAAATTATTGTGATTATTATGTACATACAAAGCATATGTTGTCTTTTTTATTGTTTATTGTAACGTGTACATTATTAAAACTTTAACCTCATACACAATGACGACACTTGTAGTTTCTAGTTTGTCGTCTGCATACACTATACTATTAACATAATTGTAGGTGGTTGTGGCCCCTGTGCTAAATATTTATCTACCATAAATCTAGTCAAAAGCATACATATTAAAGTAGCTCTATTGACATGGCTGGATTGGAAATATTTTTCGAGATTGGTGGCTCTCGACCAATAATTTGTGCTCATTCTCTTAAACCATTACTCCAGAATAATCATTTATGTTATTCAAAGAAGAAAAAAATTCAAATTTCATGTTTATAGTATTTTTTACGTTAATCGAACAAAATGGCATTACATTCAAAAACATGTCATATTTTAATACGTTAACTTATCTGTATAAGGGGCGTCAATGACATTGTGTTTATATTCGTAGACTTAAAACCCATTGTCCTCGCCGCTGTGGGTTCGAATCTCACCAAGGGCTTTTGATTAACTAGTTGACTAAGTCTACCTACGAAACGTCACTTGTTATATACAAGAGCCCGTTCGTGACATGAGGTTGTTCTCCGCCAAGCTGGAAAGTCGTCATATGACATTTACACTGCTGATGCGAAGTAAAACATAAATCAAAGAAAAAAGCTATTCACTAAAATGCTTGCGAATAAACACGATTTACCAGACTCCTTTGGGTGTTCATCCACGGATATCATGTAGTTTTCTCCATGCAGTTTAAACTGTTTATACACAGCCCATCCAGACCAGTATACTTCATTCTTGGTAAATGTTAACAATTCGCTTGGTGCGTCTGTTAGTGCTTGTATATATCTTAAACCTTCAAGAAAAATAAATGACAGAATTTAAGGAAGCGCAAAGATTATCTTTATTGAAAAGGTTCGTCTTTAAGTTAACAAAATTACGAAACATTCAAACATATTAATATCATTGCTTATAACATGTAAAAAAAATTCTCATAAAATCGTTATAAAACCATCTACATGCATTTGACATAGAACTTATGAAAAAAAATTGTTCTACGTTTACCATTTACCAACATAGATTGTTTTAAATTACAGATATTCAAAAATGACCACCCAAAAGCGAAGGATATTTTTGTAGATCTACGCGGGAAGAAAAATTCAAAACACAATACCTAACCAGAAGCCCCCTTCTGATGGATCTACATCACCGAACCCATTCTCATACGCTTCAAAGGTTTGATTGAATGACGTTTTATTTTCTTGTCGCACTTGGATAACCTTTTATAACAAAATGAAAATAAGTTGTTAGTGACATTTGAAATTTCCAAATACTTTCACAGAATGTATTAAACAGGACAGTTCTAGATGCCTTCAAAGCAACATAGAATAATATCTACACTCTATATTCAAATTCAATAAAGTTATAAAATAACTACATTAAACATTAAATCGTTTACAAACAACTGCAGGTTTTTAACGTGCTATTTTTATTCATTTATAAACAAATTTATTATGACGTTGTTCCATTGGTCTGTCCAAACTGTGTTTCTTTACAAAACAGGTAGATGTCTATCAATGAGTAAGTCAAATGTTTATATCATTTCTGAGTGCATTGTTGTAGGCCTGAGTGATTAATTACAAAGCATTTGAACGAAAATCGTGCATTATTATACAATAATACACGAAGAATTAATATCTATTTCCATTCTAACACGTCCAGAAAAAATATCATTATTATTATAAAGTTGGACTTTATGTTTGGTGGTTAAATTTGTTTTCGCCTCAGAGTTTCCAATAGAAAAGTCCTTTAAAGGATGTTATAGTGGGTTGAAAAAACTTTCGTTAAATCTACCGTGTGTAGAAACATTTTGAATCTAACGAAATTTGAAAACGTTGATAAAACTTTGTTTGTTTATTTTATTTCACTCGATAATTTTTCAAGCGAAATACAAATTATTAAATGTGAATTAAATGTAAAACTTTACTCGTTTGCGACATTAAAATAGCGTACATGATTTGATTGTTTTGCACGTGCTGTTTGGCGATACATTGTGACGTCACGTAAACAACTCTTGAAACGTCTGTAAAGCGTTAACGACTGAATAAAAGATATTGGTGTTCGGATTCATTTTCTAAGTTAGACCATTTTTTTTTCTTTCATTCTAGATAGTTTTCACAACAAAATTCGACAATTTTTTTTTTTAATTTATCAGATTTTTTAAACAAAATGGCGCCCTCAATGTGAAAATACACAGGGAGATAATAAAAACGGCGAGTGCATTGTTGTAGAATAATGCACGCTTCGGGCCTTCTTTGTTTATATAGAAAAAAATCCGATTGTGTAATAATGTTTATTCTATCACGATCCGAATGCAATAAAATCACTGTTTCACGTTCTTTATTTAGACATGTGACGTAACCATTACACAGTGACATAAACACAAAAAAATGTGGGGGCGTCCGTGGCCGAGTAGTTAAGATCGTTGACTTCAAACCACTTGCCCCTCATCGCTGTGGGTTCGAATCCCGAAAGGGACTTTTGATTCTTTCATGTGAGGAAGCTATCCAGCTACCTTACCACTGTCGGGTACGTGAAACGGTGCGGATTTTCCGTGTTACGGTGCTTCCATCCAAGATGTCGGATCGAGAAACAACAAGAAGGTACGTGTCATTTTGTAACCGATGTATTTGGAGATATACGTTACTTAAAGGATAGAAGAATAGTTGCATATAATGTAAAAGTAAATTCTCTATAAGACCAACCTGTTCACCATGTTTGTTATATAGGATTTATATGAATTATTTACTGAAAACTTTGGCGAAAAACACACACGTGAAATTCGAACCGAGAGGCCTGGTAAATTTTTGAGCAAACCTCCATTTCATAGGCATCAATCTTAAAGAAAACATGCTTTATTATTAGCGTACATGTATAAAAGCATTCCTGTAAATTAAAAATTGTTTCAATCAGTTTGTTGTGCCTGAATCTGTCTACTTTCTGTTTCGCCTACACACCGGTGCAGACACCTAGCAACGGTTCGGAATTTCCGTAAAAAATGAAACGGTGCTGCCACAAATTAGGCAACGGTGCATACATCTTTTTCAAAAAGTATACGGTTCAGACACACTTTTAGTCTATAGCTGTAATATGACATTTAAGAAAAGAATATATATAAAATGTAAATGTGTGTAATAAAAACTGTTGTAGTAACAGTTCTTAAACATAAAATAACATTCTCTAAATTGAAACAAATATGTGATGATGAATGACAGCTTTAATTACAGCCGTTGGTTGATTATGAATTGTATATTGTCTATATATGAAATGCTATTATTACGTCCAGTTCTATGAAGTAACTTTTCACTCAGCTGATATTTTTTTATTCTTTTACGGGCTATTATTATTACAGCTTAACCAAGTGTCATGAAAATATATTTTCAATCCAATTTTCACAAACGAAAAATATCCTCTACATCATTTAATATTTTTCACTAACTGAAGCATACATTTTTAAATATATTTTGTAATAGATGTAACTTAAGGTAAATAAACATTGTTTTATTTTTCGGGAAATATTATCACTGAATATGCATGTAACTCAGCTTTCTTGTTGCTATTTGTTGAAATGGAAAGATTTCAAAAGCGAGGAAGCTACATAACTTCTTATCGGAGAAAAGAAAGTAAAAAAGTTAACATACGACTATAACTTTTGGTCATTTTATCATTTTCTCGTCGAGACGAGTATCAGAATATGTAAACCCCATTACACGTATAATAATTTTTTTTCTGTTTTAGTTTCACTGTCGGAGAAGAAAACCTGTGTTACTATTGTAAGTTCTCCAGTGTGGATCTTCAAGAGTGTATCAATCACTTAGTTGTTCAGCATGGTCATCTGCAACTCAAATTAAGAACGAGAGCATTCAACGCGTCAACGGGTCAAATCGGTCTTTTATCAAAAGATTTTGGAGTTATACCAAATTTAGAGCTGGAAACTGGACAATACTTCAAAGTAGATGCAACGACATTTTCACTGGAAGTCAAATGCAATAATGAAAATATTGATATTTTACAAGAATCTTTTCACAATCTTTCACTCTGTGTCATAATAATTATTCTGAAAACACATATATATATTTGCCATGTAACTGATGAAATACTGTTCAACATGCGTTATAGCGCAACGAGGTATTAAAGCCATTTTTTAAATATCTGTTTGTTTCACCTTTATCATGATTATATAGTGTAAAATAATCTGCTACAGGAGTTAACTAGGACCAATGTTGTCATTTTCAGGTACCGGTACTTCGCAGCATATGAGTGGCTTGACAGTAACAGAAACTGTTGAAAATATTATTAAATGAATATTTCTTGTTAATATTTCAGATAAATTATGTCTTCATGGCATGCATGTACACCATGATCAAAAATGATAAATAAATGATATGTGAAAACAATTGTTTATTAATTTTAATATTATACAATCATTTGAGATCATTTGTAAAATAAAAGGAAATCACTATAAAATTTTCACAGTAGGAATCACAGAACATGTAAATGATAGTAAAACAACAACATCAACAATATCAAAGCAACAGTATCAATAGTTATCAAAAGGAGTATAAGTACATGTATTTCAGAACTTCCTTACACACTGCTTGGACCTTACTACTATCGGAATGTATGACTGTTCAAAAGTACAAACAGCTTTCCTTAATTCTAACACTTACAAAATATATAAACGAGTCCTTACTAACAAAAAAGTATGTGCAATGTTTAAAACAGTCGAAGGTTAATTAAGAAACAGTGGTGTGTGAAACCGACTAGAACAAAACGTACCGTTTTTGACCACTTAATTTGATCACGTTTAAAACAGTTTACATTAAATTTAGTTCTGTCAAATATTTATTGGAGAGAAGCTCGTTAAAATAGCAGGTTTTATTAAAATAGATTATTCTTTATTGAAAACTAGAGCTATTCGTAAGAAAACGCGCTCGACTACTGTAAGTACTTGCCTGAAAGTGAGGATGTTAGTCAATAATAAGTATATAAAGTTTCAAAACAATACCTTAAGGAAATAAGTGAGGGGGTACGGAAAACTTAACCAAAATTCTTAGTTGAAAAGAGGGCATAATTTTGTCAAAATCCATGACAAAATTATATCGTCTTGACTGAAAGTTGAAATAATGGAGACTTACAAGTATGTTAAGTTCCCGGTACCCAAACGAAATAAGTAAGATGGTACGAAAAAGGGGCGTAATTTTGTCAAAATTCTTGACCATAATATGACTAAGTTATGTCATCTTGTCTAGAAGTGGATTTGATGGTCATTTACAAGTATCTTTAGTTTCAAAGCAATACCTCAAACGATTTAGGAAGTAAGTGAGGTGTAACGAACAACTTTAACCAAAAGTGTTGGACAAAGGCCGACAACCGACGCTTGAATTTGAGTAGGATAGCTGTTTGTTTCATAAGCTGAAATCACGAGAAAATGGATCAAAATGTTATCTTGTCATGAACTTATTAAAAACGGAAACTATAAAAATTTAAAAGTACGGAAAACATTTTGATACAGTATGAACTTATATCTCCACGTGAAGATTTACTTATGACTCTTTGAAAGATGTCTACATAGACTCGCTCTCCAGACATATTTCTTTGAACAAATAGTGCAACTGAACCTTTTTGCCTTTTCATGCACACCTTTAATGTGGTCTACAAGTTCATCTCTCCTTAAAAAGTCTCGTTTACATATGGTGCATGTAAATTCTTTCTTTTCAGTGTTTCCATGGCTTATCATAAATTATGTCTGTTTAGCGCTATTTTCCTAGTAAAGGTTTCATTGCATTTTCCACATTCAAGTTTCTTCTTATCATGCTGTGCTCTCTGGTGGGCTTCAAGAGACGATCGCTCAACATAGGACTTACCACAACATTTATAAGTCTGGTTATCTATGGAATAAAATATATATAAACAATTAAACAAAGTTGAGAAGAAAATAAGTACATTTACATGTACAAGCTTTTAGGAAAGACAGTCACTCTGCTTGTATTTTCATTTTCATCATAATAAGAAAAAGATTCTACAGTTTAAGTTAAATATTACTGTCCTGTTTAAAATGTATACTTATTTAAGAGAGTTTTCCTTTTTGGTTACAGTGTGATTTCACATAGCCAATAAAATAGATTTATACTCTTTTGAAAGTTTTTTTTTCCAGACTGTCGTAAGTAATTAACATATTTCATAAAGTAAAGATAATCCGGTTTTGAATAGAATAAATAAAACAAAAGTTGTAAAATAAAATAAAACCTGAGTGTTTTAGTACTCGGTGTTTACGTAAACCACTTTTCGTCCTGTATTTTGTTCCACAGTCGTAACACAGAAACTCTTCAATAAATGAGCTGTCCAGTGCTTGGAAGCTGTAAAATATAATAATTAGAAATAAATTATGTGAAGCGACATGCAACTTCAAATTTCTGGTTTCATTTAGCAAATATATTTTTATGTCTGAACCGTATACTTTTTGAAAAAGATGTATGCACCGTTGCCTAATTTGTCGCAGCACCGTTTCATTTTTTACGGAAATTCCGAACCGTTGCTAGGTGTCTGCACCGGTGTGTAGGCGAAACAGAAAGTAGACAGATTCAGGCACAACAAACTGATTGAAACAATTTTTAATTTACAGGAATGCTTTTATACATGTACGCTTATAATCAAGCATGTTTTCTTTAAGATTGATGCCTATGAAATGGAGGTTTGCTCAAAAATTTACCAGGCCTCTCGGTTCGAATTTCACGTGTGTGTTTTTCGCCAAAGTTTTCAGTAAATAATTCATATAAATCCTATATAACAAACATGGTGAACAGGTTGGTCTTATAGAGAATTTACTTTTACATTATATGCAACTATTCTTCTATCCTTTAAGTAACGTATATCTCCAAATACATCGGTTACAAAATGACACGTACCTTCTTGTTGTTTCTCGATCCGACATCTTGGATGGAAGCACCGTAACACGGAAAATCCGCAACGTTTCACGTACCCGACAGTGCTTACGGAACGTCGGTGATTCTACTGAGGGCACCTGAGGTCTTCCTCTACCAGTAAAGCTGGAACGTCGCCAAATGACCTATACTGTTTCTGTTTGACGTTAACCCCAATCAAACCAAACAAAACTAAAAATGTGACGCGCTGTCAACCCCATATGATATATAAATATAGGGAATGCAACGCCTTTTGACCAAATTACGAATAAGCCTACGACGATAAAGAAATGCTAACCTGCACAATGAATAAAACGAAAAAAAAAATTGAAAAAAAAACAATCAAGAATAAAGATCAACAAGGCAAAGGCAACGTTCACAGGCCGCAGCAACCCCCACCCCCCACCTGCACCCCGCCGAACCCGCGATACACCCAAGTAGAGCACCCAGAAGGCACCAAACCATAACAGGGAGTGGGCATAATGGCGGTTAAAGGAGAGAGGGACAAAACTCAATTAACAACTTCATACTTTCTTCCAGTCGATAGCATTCGGTAACGTTCCTCAAATTTCTTTTGATAATAATGTACATACATAAAGCTGGGACCTACTACTGAATATTACATTTTACTTGATTTCTTTTATTGATGTATACAAGACCAAACTTCTGAGGTATAACCAATATTTAGGACCCATGTTTTATGTTGAAAATCATTTAAATTTGAAACATATTAAACATATTAAACTTTATATTGATCAACGATAGCTGATGATCTCGACATTTATATTTTAACACTTATAAGTTACCTTTGCATATTAATCTTTTACAAACATTTATCGTCTCTTTCGTCACATATGTTACAGAATAAGATAATATATACTAGTAATATTCTAAAGTTGTTTTATTGACATTATTTCTGAATGAGCCATTTGAAAATACATGTCCGTATTCTAACTTTATTTATGCAAGTTCACCATCTGATATCTGTGTTTATCAATGTATTGAAAAGTTATTAATTAAAAGGGCAATTTCGGAGTTAAAAAAATTTGCTTTAACATTAAAAGTTTACAAATTTCTTCTACAAAATTCTAGCATTCAAATATGTAGATAAATAACATAATATGTGATCATTATGTGATATGTTTAGTGTCCAACATGCTCTGTAGCACCGACCTAAGCGTTATTCAAATATTGGAGAAAATAAAAGTGTCGTTCTGTCTAACTATACAGACAAGCTTTGTTTTGTTGTTCAGACAATACAAGTATTATCAAAAAAATACCTTCATGAAAGTTGACCAAAATTTGGACAATTGAGACTTGTATGTTGTGTGCGTCTTTTAATTATTATCAGATGCAGCTTCATTTCAATTTGACGGTGTTAGGACTGTTGCACGAAAATTCAGATTACCATTGTCCTACATCAACATCGTCAATAATTTCATACACGCGTGGCACTTTTTGGCTTAATACAGACTTAAAACAGATATTATAAATTGTCACTTTTATAGTTTCCAAACTTCGTCAGTGTTAGTTACACTGATACAGACTGTCTAAATATAATGGTTAAGGAAGCCAGGACATGTCCCTGTGACCTAAAAGCCAATAAACTTTTTCATTAAATTTCATTGTGTATTACATCAACAACCCTTGTGGTGGAGGGGCTGCTTTAACGGATTGAGGCATCAGAATTGTAGCAACCGTTTCTATGCAACTCTTAGCTCCAGCAGGTGAAGTGGTTTTGACACCTGGGTTGCTATAAGTTTGTAACAACACGGTTAGCCAAAATCATCTTTCCTGTTTCGGCGCCATATGACCTTATCTGTGTTGGTACGCCGTAAAATCAAACAAAAAACATCAACACAACAACAGTATAAAAATTGAATTACCGTCCATCCTGGATCATCAAATTCTGTTGTCATTTCGCAGTACACATGGATAGATTCAGCGGTTAGTAGTCTTATCTTATATATACCACTGTCGGCAAATATGTTGTTTGATACAGCTTGTTTTAAAGCGTCTTTACAATCAACATTGAAATCTGAAAATAGACAGAAATAAAAAACAGAGACAATGCCATACAAGTTGAAAAATGGCAGACAGTCATATGCAGCGTGCATATCCAGTAACGCAGGACAGAGCAAATAACGTAAAAGTAACGCCAAATTTGTGCAACGTTATTGTCAAAAGGAAAACACCGTGAGTAAACGAACCAAAATATTTTATTCTTATTCTAACCCAAAGAAATGAATTAGCGCATATGACATTATAATTTAACCAGCATTTCAAGTTATATGTTTACTTCTTTAGATCTTTCGTGAGTAAGACAAATAAATATATACATATAACACATTCAAAACATTATTTTTCATATTCTGTATACCTAAGACATTTGTCAAACTACAAGTGTCGTATAACAAAAGAAGGAAGCTGGTAATATACTATTTAGCTTCTTTTAATGAAATAACCTCCGTTGCTTCAATGCTTTATTCACAAATTCTGCGTTACCTCGTAAAAATTGTCTCAATTACGTGTTATCTGCTAAGTTAAGTGTACAATGACATTAGTAGACTGGAAAATGTCTCAGGTACACCGAATATAAAAAAACATGAAGTAAATAATGTACGTATTTAATGTATTTTACATGTATTTAAATATATCAACGAAACCAAGAAACCAAAGATCGCCATCAATACGCTAGTCAGGTCGTCATTTTCACGAATTATATTAAAAAATAATCATTTTCATGGAAATATTTTAATGAGGTTTAAATTACAATAACTCAGCAAACGTATGCACTAATTCATTTCTTCCGGTTTGGTGTACAATAAAAAATATTGGTCCATTTACTTATCGCGGTGCTCGTTTCAGCCACTAAATTGGACAATTCTGTATTACTAATGCACAATTCCTGCGTTATTTGCACATCCCTGGCTGCCTGCGTTACTGATTATGCACGGTGATATAGAGGCTAATGGAAAATTCGATACCTCTAATATCCTAAGCACCGATATATTTTAGAAAAAAGGACTTGGGAAAATAGATAAAAACAACGCCAAAATGTCAAGACGTTTTGGTGTAAGAGTTATAGGACCAGAAAAAAACAATAAATTATTTATGCAACAGAAAAATAGTATAGATCAATGTCGAGTAGAATTAAATAACTGCATTTGAGTATATACATGTATGATAGTAAATGTATATACAATACTATCAGATAAAAAACAACATTCTAACATTGCATGTCGTAATATCAATTAAGAATATATTATTTTCAAAATTTATATTTAGAGTCATAAATATCCTGATGACTTTTAAGTTAATGACTGTAATTTATAAAGTACCAATTTTATTATTTCTTCAAAATCAAATAATAATGACTTACCCCTTCGAGTATATTGTACTGAATTTGAAGTATTTGGCAAAGGTTGAAAACTCATTACTTCACATCCAATACATAGAACATCTTCCGGTTGATACACACTTGTCAGGCATTTGTTGTGTAGGAAACATATTTTGCTGCAAGACATCTCATCAGGAACGTCGTTTCGGATAAACAGATATTCGGATGAAGAACATGTGATTCCATAAGATTCATCTTCGTGGCGATATTTTGTCCAAGCGATATTCGTCGCCGATATAACGTTGAGTGAAATCAAAACTGTCCATATCGACAATAAAATAACTGTCTCTTTAATATTTTTCATTTTCTACAATGTATGTTATTTATACGATGCCAGCAAAATGTGATTCTGTAAGAAAGAAGAAATATTATAAGATTTTTACAAGTTATTTAGCCCTATCTAAACGGTTGTTTTAAATTTAACCCGAGCAGCTTTGCAAGGGGTTATATTTTATACAAACGTTTATATGGTAATATAACTTGTGAATAATTTTATAAGGAATTTAAAATACAGCAAATTTCCTTTTTTAAAGCAAAAATGAAATTTCTTCGTAACTTGACAGAAGTTTTGTATATAAAACTATATAAGCATCACAATTATCCAATGTAAAACGGCGTTACAAACGAGCAGTATTATAAGAACTATTATAAGACAAGGTAGATTTTAACAGAAAATCAATATGTGGTCTCCAGAACCAATCTTTGATATTGTTAAAAACAGGTTTCCAATCTGGGTTGAATCATTGCATGTTTAAGAAAACGATTTCCTTCAAAGACTAATTATTGTTCGAGGTATGGCACGAACGGAAATGGAAATGAATTATTGAATGTGTGTCTCTTTTGGATTTTAGGTAATCTGTTCCAAGAGCAATTCTGTTTGAATGAGTTCAGCAATCCTCTCAAAAGGGTTTAAAACTTTTTATACCAGTGTCTACGTACTTAGTATATACACAAGGGAAGCAACTGAATAGAAGTATCAATAGAGAGAGGAGAGGAATATTGAAGTATTGGTTTAATGCTTCTATTACACCAATGTCATATACTTATCGACCCTGAATCTCGGGCCAGTTTGCGGACCGATTATCATCTTCCGGCCCTACACTGTCTAATGGCGTTAAAGTGCGCTAGTTAAACTAGGCATGTCAATAGCAAGATGTTCTTATTGTTTATGTTAGATAAATAGAATATTTTAATTGGGTTGAAATTCGTGTAAGTTCATTACTAAATGTATTGAACCGTATAAAACAATAACTTGCCGGCATAATATGATTTTATTCATTTGTTTCATAAATTCAGAACTAGATCTACACTTTTCAATATCCTCTATTTCTTGGGAAAAAACACGAACAAAAATAGGATGACGTCACACGGCTGCACTTTGCGCAAACAAAAATCTAAGTGTAAAATCTGGAATAGTGTTGTTATTTTCTAAAACATAAACTTATTCTTTAATAAATCTCTGGAAATTTAACCAATTAAACCCAAGCCAAGACAAATAAGGCAAGCCTATATAGAGCAAAACAAAATGAATTTTAGACATGAATTATTTTTCTTTGCGAGTCCTGATACTATTTCATAACTTCCAATCACACCCATAGCCTTTCATTCCTTTCAAAGTATTTTAAATTAGTTCGTTTTAGTGCCACAATATTCCAGGAACAGTGAGCATCTATATAGTTACCTATAATAACCATACGGAATCTTGTATTTCATAAATTAATGCAGCTTATTTGAAGGAAGACAATCGTGAAATATAATTATGTTCGTATTCATACATGTTTTTTCCCTTTAGGTGGTGGGCTTAGATAAAGTTTATTTCCGTTTAAAGATTTACAACTAACACGGTATTTTGCGCCAGTGTTTAAATTATATTCAATCTTTGTTTGCAGATTGGTAAGCCCTATGGTTTCCATTGTTCCGTCAAATAACGTTTTTCATAAATAAAATTGCAAATACCTGAAAAAAATAGATACATAAGAATTCAAAGATATTTTAGACAGATGCCTGCATCCTGCATGTCGGCTGCTTTTAAGTAATGATTTTAGGGTATTTACTCTCGGACAGCTCCGTATTTTTGCTCCATTTTTGCGTTAGCAAAATGATTATAATAACAATAATAAAAATACATCTTATAATAGTAAAAATAATCAGTAAAAGATTAAATTAAGAAAACATATAGAAATAGATGAAAATCAAAAAAAAATAATTATAATATTCAAGTTTTTTCTATAAATACAGTATTTATTTTCATCGAATGGTATGAAAATAAATATTTCATGAGTGGCAGTATCCACCACGAGTGAAATATGATCATGTTCATACTACAAGATCAAAATAAATCCTGTATTTATAGAAGAAACTTGTATATTATTATTATTATATTGTAGAAAAAAACTTGAATTTTCTGTTCATTATATACTTCTTTCACTTTTTTAACTATATGAATAGGAAGAATTCCCTTTAAATTTTGCTTATTGGCCGAATTTAGAAAAAGAATGTTGTCCGGCAAGACACCAGTGAAAATACGGAAAATATATGTTTTACTGCAGTGAAAAATGAAATTGATATATAATAAATTGTGCTATTTCATGTGTGTGAAAGTATATAATAAATTGTGCTATTTCATGTATGTGAAAGTATAAAATAAATTGTGCTATTTCATGTATGGGAAAATATATAATAAATTGTGCTATTTCATGTATGGGAAAGTATATAATAAATTGTGCTATTTCATGTATGGGAAAGTATATAATAAATTGTGCTATTTCATGTATGGGAAAGTATATAATAAATTGTGCTATTTCATGTATGGGAAAGTATATAATAAATTGTGCTATTTCATGTATGGGAAAGTATATAATAAATTGTGCTCTTACATGTATGGGAAAGTATATAATAAATTGTGCTATTTAATGTATGTGAAAGTATATAATAACTTGTGCTCTTACATGTATGGGAAAGTATATAATAAATTGTGCTCTTACGTGTATGGGAAAGTATATAATAAATGGAGTTTTTAATGTACCAGTATGTGAAAGTATATAATAACTTGTGCTCTTACATGTATGGGAAAGTATATAATAAATTGTGCTCTTACGTGTATGGGAAAGTATATAATAAATGGAGTTTTTAATGGACCAGTATGTGAAAGTATATAATAAATTGTGCTAATTAATGTATGTAAAGGTATATAATAAAGTGTGCTTTTTCATGTATGTGAAAGTATAAAATAAATTGTGCTCTTACATGTATGGAAAAGTATATAATAAATTGTGCTATTTAATGTATGGGAAAATATAAATAAATTGTGCTCTTACATGTATTGGAAAGTATATAATAAATTGTGCTAATTCATGTATTGGAAAGTATATAATAAATTGTGCTATTTCATGTATGGGAAGGTATATAATAAATTGTGCTATTTCATGTAATGGATATATCTCCCCTTTTTGAAGTATCTGACTGTTATTCCGGCCCAGAACAAAAAGCACCCCATAATCTAACTACAAATGTTGAAATATTTTGACAATCAGAAAAACTATTACATATTTAGTAATGGAAAGTCTTGCGATTTTATACCTTAATCAATAGTAAAATTTGTATAATTTGTAATCGTTTTGACAACAAATAGTATTTCAATCTAATGTTACACTTGAATCGGTAGGTAATACTAACAACAAGACACTGATTTGTGGGTAATACTATTAAGTTGACACTGGTTACTGTAGCAATAATTGCAATTAGATATTCGGTACAGTAGGAAGTGATAAGTAAACAAAAAGAACCCGACTTAATTAATGCTAGCATGTAGACCAGTTGGTAACGATAGTAAGTAGTCAGTCATAAATAAGACCATCTTACAAAGAATTCGTATAGGTTATCTTAAAACTTAATCGTCTCCCAAACCCATATGCCCAAAATTTTGACATTTTGTTTACTGTATTGTTTTTCGTTTTTCCTTTCAAGAACCCAAAATAAAACCCCTTATAATATATTTCTATAAAACAGTATCATCAATAATTCGTTATAAATGACAAACTCCCTCAAAATAGACCCTAATACATAAAACGACTGACGGAAATTTATCAGATCCTTCATCGTTTCATCGCTCCTTCTGAGACAATACATTTATCAGCAAAATAAAAAATATAAAAAAACACACAAAAAAACACAAACAAAGCACACAGGATATAAAAATTCACTTGTTTTCATATCCAAATCGAAATCTGATCTTAAATGTTATCTGATATTTCTGATTAATCTATGTTATGAATCTGGACACAAAAAGCATTTAATGTCTTCTCCTTAATGGTTATACTTATATTTTATATCTTATATACATGTACATTATATTTGATGTACTTAAGACCACTACTTCCACTACTTAGTTTGTTCATTCATAGCCACGAGGTTACTACATCTTAAACAGACTCATATCTATATATCTATTTATAATTTCACTGTAAAAATTATCAAATATAATTTCACTTTCTACTGCAAAGAATGTAATACAATGAACATATGAATACCTTTAATAAATACAAATGCCTAGTTCTTAGATATTTTGTTATTTGTTTGACAATTGTCAAGTTTATTCAAATCCTGATCACGGGACCAAAATTGGCCTCGCTACTTAATTTTACATCGAGTCATAAAAAGAAACATTACAAAATTGTCTTACCCATAATTGTTTAGTCAAAAGTATTGTGTAATAGACTGCTATTTTAAAAAGGGTGCAAACAACTTTGACTCCGAATGTAACTTGATTTTTATTGCCATATAGAAAAGTCTTGATAAAGAAATCTTCTACAACAACTTTATGCCTGTTAAAGGGAAATGGGAGGGGGTTCAAATGAGAGATAAAATTGATAATAAGTGTTAATAAACTATAATAATAAATTATCATTAATTTTAAACTCGAACTTTTTGGAAACGTTTCATGGAAATTGTAAGAGTGTGATTGATTTTACATATACAAATGTAATGTCTTCATATGCTTTTAGCCTTAAAGATTAGTTCCGAAATGCGAATTCTTTCGAACAAAAGTGCTGTTTTATTCTCAGCATTTTGATCAATATAAGTTCCTCGCAAGGAGACGAATTTATTAATTTATTAAACAGTCAGACCTCTAAGTGACACAATAATTCTAGCATCAAAGTTTTAGAACAATATTACCTTAATAATTCGTCGCTTGAAAACTGTAATGTTCTATCTCCAAATTTTCCAAAAACAAGTTAAATACACAATTTTGTCCGTAATGGACTGTTATTTCTCCTTGGCATGCTATATTAGTCCTTCAGAACTTCATAAATAAATTACAACGAAACCATCCTGTTCTAACTCTACAAATTCAATATATCTTGATAAATAGACTGTTCTAACTTATTGGACCAATCATGTCATCGATAAATGTCAGGTGACCTATTAAATCACGTGATAG